TAAATATGAAAAACAAGAAATAAAGTACTTACCCAATCTTCGTTTTTTCTTGCCCTTGATTGTCGAGGGCAGTTAGCCTGATTTTTTATAGTAATTCTGGTAAAGCATTTAATAATTTTATTTAATTAAATAACGCACCAAAGAATATAGACTAATAACATGCAAAAAAAGTTTAGAAATTCACTTACCTCTGACAAGAGCCATTACAAGTTCATCCAAGCTAGTCATTAACTTTCTCACAAAAACGAATCTTGACAGTGAGTGAAATTAACGATATTCTGTTCAGAATATAATGTTATACAATACATCATTTGATAGATGAAAACCTTGACATTCTATTGGTTATAAGTAATATATAATGAAATGTAAGAGAGAACTATCAACGAATTGTGAAAGAGAGGATGTGACATGTGGGTGTGGCAAGAGGGGTCTGATTTTCTATTTGATGGCTCTGTAGCCAAACAAAATTGAAGTCTATAAAAATTATGGTTTGTTTTAGCAATAACAATTTTACAGAGAGTATTTTACAGTTAATTTCATACTCTTTTTCGAGGGATGGTGGATAAAATAGGGATGATGACATGCTAAGAAAAAATGTGTCATGTGGGTCACTAGTGGAAATTCAGGATTTTTTTTAAATATTGCCTTGTAGAATTAAGAACATAAAACTTGTATACTATTAATATATAGATTATTAGCTAATATCTTATGCTATTCTAATTGGTATAACATAAACAAAAAGTAATTTAATAAAATTTTGAATGTAAGACACTAGAACTTTAGTGTCATGCACAGTAAAGGATACCTAGGCTAATAGGGTTAAAGATACAAACAATTAGAAGAACTGATACAACTGTAATCACAATGTAAGCTACAAAATGTGTGAATCCAACTACAACTGGATTAAAGAAAAGAATAATTATAAGAACTAATAGGACTGTAACCTCAATGCAGGATACATGATGTGTGAAACCCAACAATAATCTGAATATGGAACTAAGCAGACCAAAATTTAGAAACTTACAATCCATACACAGATAGAGCAAAGACTTATAGTAACTGAATTGCAGTGGCATAGCAAGGGTTCTCAGCACCCGGGGGCAAAGACACTTTTGGTGCCCCCACCTCTGAAATGATTTTGATTATTTGTTTTGTGACTCATTACCCACTTAGTGACAAAAACAAAGAATTAATTACCGCCTTACACAGGCCTAAAATAAAGTCACAATATAACATCTCACAATACCACAACTGTAAACCTGGAACTAATGAAGTGTAGCCTACAAGGTGTACTTACATAATTTGTAAACCATTTTGATATTTATGACATCCAGTATTGTTCAAAGTCACATAGCTAGAGTAATCTTTCAAGCATGCAGAATAAATTTCTGTTATATCCCTAGTTTTGAAACTTATATTTTATATAAGAAGCCAGTCATTTGTGGTGTACATCGATTATAAAACAGATTGATAAAATACTACTTTAACAAATAACAAATTTTATTAGTTTACAAAACTGTATATATACTTAACTAGATCTTGTACAGGTAGCATTCTGGTATTCATGGTTACATTATATGAACCTTTAGTGCTTTTGCTGCTACAAATGCATCAATTAAACTATCAAAATTAAAAAGCATTAAGTACGT